AACACAATGCACACCAAGGTTCACAAATAGACCCAGACAGACACAACACGAGCCAGACTGGGAGCCGGGACAGGAAGTGGCTCTCCCCCGGTGCGTTTTAACGTCTGCTGTCGGAGGAATTACCACGAAGGAATTCCCAGTGATGTGCTTTTCCTCCGGGCTTTGTTAGCAGCAGCCTGGGAATGAATAACAGGCGGGATTGAAGAAGAGGAGAAAGAGAGGCAAAGAAAGTCCTCCCACCTCTCTCCCTCTGATCCCAGCGGGACTTTTATCTGAGCTCACGTGTGGACGATGAATGTGAGCGACTCCATCTGCTGCTGGTCCCTGCTTGTTACAGATGCTGCTTTAATCCAGAGATGGTTTTATCATGCTTTTACTAAAATACTATATCTGTATTAATCCAACACACCTGAGTCTCATGATGACGGTGACGCAGCCTCATTGGTGTAAATCACAAAGATCTGTGGCCCTTTATGATTATTTGTACTTGACAATAACAGTTTGTTCTTGTATGAACCTCCTTCAAAGCCCCGCGCTCGCCTTCAGTCTGACCGCTGTTTGCACAAATCTGTCAAATCAAAACTAATTTCATAAGAAAATCAACCCAGCGGCTGCTAGCTTTAAAAACAGGAAAGAAAAAATGGAGTAAATTCATCGAGAGACAGTTTTCTTCTTTCTCCACATCACAGAAACCACATTTCCTGTTGTTCACCAAATTCAAATGAATCCACACTTTGGATTTGAAGCCATAGACGAGGTTTACAATAAGTCTGAGCTGCTACTGGGCCACTAAAATCAAGAGGAAAAGACATGAGTGACAGATGCACATGTGTTGATATTATTTTATGTGGAGAGGATACCTTTTTAAATCTGAGAGAAACCCCACAAACTTCAGCAGTGTTTTTTTCCAGATTTAGATGAACGTTTGGGTGAAGTCAGCAGGTGTGACATCGCTGCTCTGATTGTTTGCTTCACGTCTCGGCTGTTAGGAATTTATCCATGTTTGGGAAAACCAAGTGAAGAAACCTAAGTTCATTTCCCAGCGCTGTGATCTGATGTGGCTGAAACGTTCTGTCAGTGTACAAACGTCTGAGAGACAGTCTGACTTTCTCTACACGATACAGTGAAGCTGCTGCTGCTGTTGTGACTCTTTGGGCCTGAACTTAGGAAGTAAATGTATAAGATACAGAAATCTGTAACTTAATTACTGTGGTGCTTATTCTGGCCCACGGGCCTGATATTTAACACCTCTCCTGTAGTTGAACCTGTGGGTACCTCTGTGGGTACATCTCAGGCCCGTGTCCAGGCCTAGCTCCACCCACCACACTACCTGCCGGTGGCTGATGCCCTCAGCCGTCGGCGTTCGGGGCTGGGCACTCGGGCGCGTGCCCGGCTCACTCCCGGCAGGAGTGGGGTTCCCTCAGGCCTCTGGGACCGTGGCTCGGCCCGCTCTGGTGCGACTGGCGGGGCCTGCGGGCTCGTCACTGCGGCCCTCTGTGGCTTCTGCACCGTGGTTGCTGGGTGACCCACGTCTGTGTTGTTGTCTTGTTGTTTTCTCTTCTTTTAACAGGTGATCTTCTTTCACTGTCCTTCCTTCCCCTCTGTTTTCTTTCTGTATAGTTGTCTGTGCAACTTGTAATAACTTTAAATAAAATTAACCTCCTAAAACCTGAACTCTTCCACACCAGCATTTTTAATTTCTCTTTGATATTTGGTCACATTGGAACCTGATGAAAGTAAAAACAAAGAATTACCAGATTTTTTTTAACCTTATTTTTGTTTTTAAGAAAAATCAGAGCCACATATGAGGATATTCGTTTAAAATGTTGACAGAACAGTAGCAGTAATGTCCTCGTAAGTGGATATCAGGCCCATGTAGACCAAAACTGAGTATTTTGGTCTAAATAACCCAAAATGTGACGTCCACATATGTGGACGCAGGTCCTAGGAGGTTAAATTAATAAACAATGATAATATAGCTCAATCAAGTGGAACAACCCTAACCATGCATTGGCATCCTGGCCTTCAGGGAACCTGTGGGAGGAGCTACTTTTACCTGTGAAGCCAAAAATCCCATTTAAAAATCTTTGTTTTTACTTAGTTTCTCCTGCAGAGAAGCAGCTTGGCTGAGTGAGCTGCATGCAATAAGAGACGTGTGTCTGTCAGGTGTAGGCGGGGTTCAGGTGTTCTCACGAGGATTTGATTCATGCTGAGGCTGAGTCAACATTTCGGAGCGCTCGTGTCAGAAATAGAAAGTGCAGAGCTCTGAGGAGGGACTCGCACGGGGCTCCCGGGACCGTTTGAAGTACAGAAAGGGGGTCGGGGAGCGTTTTATCTCGGGGACGTGACGGTTTGATGCTCGCAGACCTTTCAAGGAGCTTTTTTTAAAACACAGATAAGAGGATTGGCGAGTGGCTCGAGAGGAGCCGTCAAAACAGGCCGAGAGACAGAAAAGCTCAGAGCGAGCTGTGGCCGCACGGAAGCTCGTCTGTGCCACTATTTGCTCGTCGTGTTTCCAGACACAAACGTCTTTGTGACGGTCATGCATGACACACGCGTGTTCTTCTGCACTAGTCATCTTTTAAAAAAAGGGCGTCTCCATTAAAGGAAGAGCCCGCCAGCTTTTAGAGGCCTAATCTGTGAAGAATGCTGTATCAGCGCACTATCAGCAGCTCCAGCAGAGGAAGGCGGATGTCTCTCGGGTTTTAAATGGATCCTGAGGACGAGAGAGGACCGAGCGCGCCAAGTGACTCGTGTCAAGTGGACATCCTTATCTCCCAAAGATGGGCGACTCTCTCTCTCTCTCTCTGGAAGGCAGCGGTGGCGAGTGCTCAGGCTCAGAGCAGCTGCAGGTTCAGAGGGTGAAGGCGTCCTGGCTCCTCCGTCATAAACAAACCCGGCCCACATCGAGGCGGCGTTGGCGAGCTCTCAGGAGGTGGACCGCTCTGGAGCAGACTGCTCCACTCCAGGCAGCTTGTCCCTCCTCGAGGCCGCCGGCAGCCGGGGGCCACCATGACGGAGTGGACTCTGCTCAAGCGCCTCCTGGACGCCGTGCACCAGCACTCCACCATGATTGGCCGGCTGTGGCTCACCGTCATGGTCATCTTCCGGCTCCTGATCGTCGCCGTGGCCACCGAGGACGTGTACACCGACGAGCAGGAGATGTTTGTGTGCAACACGCTGCAGCCGGGCTGCTCCACCGTCTGCTACGACGCCTTCGCGCCCATCTCCCAGCCTCGCTTCTGGGTGTTCCACATCATCAGCGTGTCCACGCCATCGCTCTGCTTCATCATCTACACGTGGCACAACCTGTCCAAGCACAACGCCACCCAGAGGTTGGGGCAGGGGGCGGGCGACGCGGCGGGGCAGGGAGGCCGGGACGGTGGGCGAGAGGCCTATGACCGGAGCTGCGACTCAGACAGCTGCTCCATCCAGTCCCATAAGCACCTGGGGCACAGCCTGGCGAATGTGCTGGAGGGCATCGCCGCCAAGGACCTCCAGAGGCTGGACCCCAAAAACTCGAGCCAGGCCCGAGCCTGCACCTTCAGGGAGGGGGGCACAGAGGCGGGCTCCGGAGGGGTTTTGTCCAAATGCTACATCTTCCACGTGTGCCTACGGGCTGTCCTGGAGGTGGGCTTCGTCCTGGCTCAGTGGAAGCTGTTCGGCTTCCAGGTGCCCGTCCACTTCCTGTGCACCTCGCCTCCCTGCAGCCAGCCAGTGGACTGCTACGTCTCCAGGCCCACGGAGAAGACCATCTTCCTGCTCTTCATGTTTTGTGTCGGGGTTTTCTGCATCCTGCTCAACCTGCTCGAGCTCAACCACCTGGGCTGGAAGAAGATCCGCCGCGCAGTGCGGCTGCAGGAGCACGCGTCCTGGGGAGCGTACGAGACCTTCCCTCCAGACAGCCCCTCCTTCACATCCTCTTTAGGCTTCAGGGACGTCACCAGCACCACCTCGCTGCCCACCCTGAACCTGGTGGTGGGTCACCAGCCGGACTGGACCTGTGCGGTGAACTGTGGCAGGATGAGGGAGCCGGAGGAAGTCCGAGAGAAAAGAACGGAGCCCCTAAGGAGAGAGGACTCCCATAAAGGAGAGAGGCAGCCTTTGAAGAGCAAGAGGGAGATCAGGGGGTCCAAACACAGGAGTGCCGAGGTCTGGATTTAGTCTCCATGACACCGCTGTCTTTGTTTATACGATCCATGGAGCTCAAAAAAACACCTGGATCACCTCCTCATGTATGGAGCAGAGACTCATCTTGCACTGTGATGAGGGACGGGACAGTGAAACTGCATTTAAAAGCTGTGGTGCTGCTCAGACTGTCCTGTAATTATCAGTTTAGATTAGAAGTCTGTGCACATTTATCAAATATGTCATGCTGACCAAAGTCCTGCACAAAACACAGAAATGGATAAAAATAAATATGAACTACAGAAAATAAATAAAATGCATTAAGCTGCTAAACGCACGCTGTCATGGCGGACACACTAATCCTACGTGAACAGGTCAGACTGTTGTTTCTTACAAATATTCTGAATGAGTCATATTTGGAAGTTTAAACCTGATGTTGACATAATTTTGTGTACAGACAGAACAAAGAAAGAAAACACACGAACGCTGCCTCGATATTTACTCGTCATTTATTTACGCAATATATTTTTGGAATATATTCATTTACAACATCTATAAAACAACTTTTACATAAATTATGCTACTGAAAAACTAAAACACAGAAGTGTGACGTTTCCTGTGCAGGGAAGAGGTTTGCAGACTGAACACTGAGACTGCAAAAGCAAACGGAGGCGCGGCGTGGAGAGAGCGTTTACTTTAGTGTATCAAAGAGTCAGTTATTCTCACCGTGGGAGTGTGAGGAAGGCCCATCGTGGGCTCAGTCTGAAGCCTGTAAACAAAACCAAACATCCGGGTGTTTTTATGATAAATGCATTTAAAAAAAACTCCCGTGGCAGGGGTGTGGTCTCTGTGGCAGGGGTGTGGTCTCTGGCCTGCTGCAGTGTAGGGGCGGTGCCAGGATGTCAGAGGGGACAGGTGAAATATGATGGAGCTAATGACCCTCCCCCTTTATAGG